GCCCAAACTTTTGTCCTTTTCTTTCTCCCACTGATCATATATCATTATCATTTCTACATTATTTTTCCATAAATTAATTAGTAAGCTAGGTAATCATTCTCTTCTCAGTGCAAATCAATTTCAAAGAATTAAAGAGAGCTTTCTAATTACGTATGGCAAAATAGTGTTAGAAATGATGAAGATAAACTCATCAAGTTGAAGAAGCAAAAAAAAAAAAAGGAAGTCTCAGCTAAGGCAATAATAAAAAAAAAAAAAAAAATTGGGAGAGAATAAAAAAAAAAGGAGAAGAGGTGTAAAGTAGGTGAGGACGTAAGTTACATTGTGGAGAAAAAGAAGAAGCAAATGAGGGCAAAATATGCAGCAACCATATTTATGTTACTGGGAAGGATCGGTGATAGCATCTGTTTTTCGCTGCTTAATAATTTTGTTGCTTACTGGCATTACTGGAACATATTTAATTCCTAGCGCAACTTTGATACAGGCATATCCCCAGGAAAAGGTTGGTGTATTTGTAAGGCGGGGTAAAGGTGGACCTCTGACAGTGGTTGAGTACAGTGAGTTGGATCAATCACTGGCCTCTGCAATTAATCAGCAAACAGGACGACTTCATTTTTGTTGGAGTAATGTAAAATCTTTAGTACCTACTTGTATACTGATTGCTTTGCTTTTGAGATAATTAGTTCTTTAAATATTGGATTGTTGTGATGAACATAATCTAACCTTTTTATTAAGTAATGGTACTGCAGAATCTTATGGACTTAAATGGTGCAGAAATTATGTGGATCTTTATGTACTTGATCATAGTTATATATTTAAATTAGTATTTCATTCTATAATTTACAACTTTTATCTCTACTGTTAAATAATGTGCTTCAGTAGTGAAAATGTATGCTAATTTCTTGTTTTATCAATACTTCTCTTTAACTTATTTCTCTCTTCATTTTTTTGGCTTTTCAGGTGTGCCTACATATGTTTACCTTGGATTTCCTTAACCAAGTGGCCAATGGCTTGGAGAAAGATAGCATGTTAGTGACGTTTGCAAAATTCACCCATAGGATTAAGTTGGTTAAATTAATTCATATTATTTCATAATTTAACATACTTTTCATGTGATATAGATGTTTCTTTCTAAAATACCTTTTGTCATAACACTACAATATGTGCTTACTAAAATTTTAAGTCTCTCAAATATCTTAACTTCAAATTTTCTTAGGTAATCACAGATTTTTATGGAAGTTAGAATCAGTTCTGTGAAACCAAATTGTTTAAGCTTGTTTGCAAGTGCATTCCTTCCTATATTTTTTATCAACTAAACATAGTAATTTAATATCTCATACCTAGTGCTAGTTCCATTCGACATTCCTAAGGTCTCAGAGGTAAGTGATTTAGGGAGAGCAAAAAATTATCTCTGTTTCCACTATTGAAATTCCTTGGAAAAGCAATATAGGTTAGACATATTTATAGAATGTAATTTCCTTTCATATTTCAACACCTTACAATCATGTACACAATGAAAGATGTTGGACTTTACAGTCCTGAGACTTTGAATACCTTTCTGCTGTGTAAGTGGATCGTGCAGACTTAATATCTGTGTATTTTTATCTACATGTTTAAACATTTAAACATCAACATTAACATGTTATGCATTTTGGATCCAGTTATCATCTTGCTGAGAAGAAAATCCCTTCCATCCATGGATATACTTTGGGATTAAAATTGGAGCAGTTCATATTTGATGCATTTCCATATGCTCCTTCAACTGCCCTTTTTGAGGTACCTGTTTTCATTCCTTGCTATCACTTTTGTTTTGAGAAATTTCTTTTTTATTTTTGTTCTTGCACATTGAAGATAGACTCGATCTCACACTTCAATTATTTTTCCCAATATTCAGGTATTACGTGAAGAGGAATTTGCACCTGTGAAAAATGCCAATGGATCAAATTTTGATACTCCAGACAGTGCTCGCCTGCTCGTTCTTCGTCTTCACAGTCGTTGGGTAGTTGCTGCAGGTGGCTTCTTAACACATTCTGTGCCCTTATATGCAACTGGTGAGTTTGTCCTCTCTTTGCGTGTCTATTGAAAATAATAAATTGAAGGACAAATTCCTATGTTAACAGTCAAATTATGGTTAATAATGATTGGGTCCTACATTTTTTTTTGGTTCATTACAATATAACTTCTGGAGACAAAATTATTTCAACATGTTTTCCTGTGGAATATTTTGACAAAAATATCAAGAAATCTTAATTATTCTGGTGGTTAGAGAAGTGTCTTAAGAGATTAAAGACCTCACTAAAGCTATTTCAGATCAAATTTGTAAATTTTATAGAATTTATTTACAAAGACACACTTAGTTTCAAAAAGAAAATGATATAAATTTTATTGAATTCCGTGTATTTTATGTGATCAATTTTTTATTATTTTAGAGAGAATTTTCATTATTTTTCATTTGTTATAAGTATTGACTTGTAAGTGAATTCTACAAAAACTGTTAATTTGTTCGGTTGTAATATGTTCTATAGTTTAGAGATTAAAAAGGGCATCTTCTTAGAAACTGAACTTGGAGAAAGGCTTATTAAACAAGATGAGGTGATGATTTAGGGCACTGTTGTTTTTTTTTTTTTTTTGGAACCCAGGAGTGGAGGTGTCTCCACTGTGTTCATATGCTGGAGAGAACCTGGAAGCCATATGCCGGGGAAGAACATTTCATGCACCTTGTGAAATTACATTCTAGTAGTTGAATTTTGTGATATATGCTATTCTGTTTTGGCTGAAAACAATGTAATTGATAGGGACGTTTATTCATATATATGTATAGTCCATTCATATGATCGTAGTTGATTGAGGTAGATAAATAAGCGGGTGAAATTGGGCATTGATTATTTTCTTTTGGATATTGATGGGGTGCAATTTATTATTCTTGGGCAGAATTATCAGCCATTATCTGTATCATGCAAATAAATTGACATTTATCCATAATAAAAGTGGTGTTTGGTTTAGAGAATTTAATTTTAAATTTAGATTGATCAGAAGTTTTTTTTTTTTTTTTTTTAATTACTTTTTGTTCCCAAACAAAAAATTATATGTCATTATAAAATATCACATTGTATACATTCACGTAGATCGATATAGGCCTGGCTTTTTCTCTTTAGTGAGTGGAATCATATTCTCCTATCTAACATTATGTACTTTTGGTTTGGCAAAGAAGTATTTAGAAACCTCCTTTTGCCGTAGCAAATTCTTTAGGAAGAATTATGAAATGACATTCACTTTATCTAATATTAATCTCTTTAAAGATATTATATTTACCATTCGTATGTATGTAGACATAACACCTATTATGTACAAGCACATGTCCATATGCTTAGCTCAATTAATTAATTAAATTCTATATGAATATGCTTTGTCTTTATAGTTTTTTTTTTTTTTCTAGGGAAAATATGAAATTCATTAATAATCAAATGAGCATTACAGCAATATCCGGAGTAAGCCTCTTCCATACATGAAAGACAGGCAGGGAGTGGGCTTTCCTCGTATTGCTATGCTATGGGCTGTCGTATTAACTTTCCTGCTAACTCAGGTAATGGAGATATCTAACCTTCGCGATAACAAGACTTTGCAGTCCTCCGCAATGGAGCCAAATTCAGATAAGTCAATCTTCTTTCGATGTTACGACATTTTTAACCTTCCGCATGTCAACTTCAACTCTCCTCGGCCCAAGTAATGTGAAATAGATATATTACTGGGTGTTGCAGCATCCTAGGAGTTTGGCAAGATGGAGAGATTGACAATTTGGGATTCTGCTAGAAAAAACCATCTTCACATTCCCAGTCGAGTCTCCTACAATTACACCATAACCGGCCTCTGAAACTAACGGTGAAACTGTGCCGTCAGCGTTGCATTTCCAGACCCAGGCGATGGTGGCTACCCCCTGGTATGATTAGTAGCTTTGGACAACCTCTCCCTCTTATTTCCATCCTCAGAAAGAGCGATGCACAAGCATGATGGAAGTCTAATCAGTGAAGATCTTCTTGTTCCATATGGCTTCATTTCTCTCTGTCCAGAGGCGCCATAAATAGAAAAAAATCTCCTCTACTTCTTCCTTCGGTCGAGTTTTGGCTTCTTGTTCTACCCATTCAGTTACAACAAGTGGAGCTTGAATATGTAGATTCCTACCCAGTTTTTTCCAAAAGCTCTTGGCCTTATCATAATCTAGAAATACATGCAGGATCATCTCTTCCCTTCTGAATCTGGTACACTCTTTCGTAATGGCAATCCCTTTCTCCAGCAGTTTTGTTTTCACCGACAGAATGTTGTTTAACATGCGCCACATGCAGTTCTTAACTTTTAGTGGGATCTTCGCTAACCATAAATATCTCCAAACGTTCCAAGCTCCCTGTCTATGATTCACATGGAATGTCGTCAAGTGCTAATACGCAAACTTCACAGAATATTTACCATCTACCGAATTGCTCTACACACATGTCTTCCTGTCTTTGTAGGCTCAAAGGGATACTTAAAATAAGGTCCACCTCCTCTTCAACAAATAGTCCTTTGATCAGATCAACGTTCTAGCTGAGGGAGTCCGCACTCAGGAGATCGTCGACCACCATGTTCTCGAAACTCAGTACATAAGGGCTGCGGACATAAAAATCATGTTCTCTCGGTAACCAAGGATCATTCCATATGTTCACCCGCTGCCCTGTTCCAACAATCCATCTCAAGTTACTCTTTAACACATCCTTGGCATCCAACCGAGTAGTGAAAATGTCCCCTTGAGGGAAGTATTTAGCTTTGAGAGTTCTATCTAATAAGGAATCAGGGTTGCTAAAGAGTCTCCGGTATTACTTGCCAAGAATCACGAGATTGAACTAATGTAGGCGTTTCGAAAACCCAATCTTCCATTTTTTTTGCTTTTACTCAGTCCCTTCCATGATGTCCAGTGAAGAGAGCGACTTCTATTTCTTTTCTTTCTCTACCAAAAGCTGTTCATAATGCGTTAGAGTTCATCACAAAGCATGACAGAGAGGTAAAAAAAAAATCCATGCTAAACGTCAGCAGTGTTTGCGCAACAGATTTCAGTAAAATTTCATTGCCCGCTCTCGAGAGGAATCTGTTGGTCCAACCATTTAGCCTATTGAGGAGCATGCTCTTTAGAAAGGCAAAGATACGTCGTTTACTATGACCCACCAATGAAGGAAGGCCAAGGTATCTCCCATAGTCCATATCATTGTGTACTTTAATAATATTTTATAGGAACTGGCGAAGCTCTGGACCTGTGTTTCTACTAAAATATGTTCTGAATTTTTTGAAAATTTACAGCTTGACCAGAAGCAGCTTCATACTGGAGAAGTATCTGTTTGATGGTGGCACATTCTTCTGCATTCGCTCGAAAGAAAAACAATGAATCATCATCGAAAAAAATGTGAGAGATGCTGGGGCTTCTTGCGCATATTCGGATGTCATGAATACTTCCAATATGCTCGACTTTCCGAATCATTGCGGAGAGACCTTCTGTGCATAAAATGAAGAGGGATGGGGATAAAGGATCTCCCTACTCAACCCTCTTTTGGGCACAGTAGGGCCAATCCCAGCACCATTTAAGTTTACTGGATAGACAACCGACTAGACACAATGCATCAGAATGCGAACTCATCTGCTACCAAACCCGAACTAAAAAAGCATCGCCTCCAAAAATTCTCATCTTACCATGTCGTAGGCTTTACTGATGTTTATTTTAAGTGCCATATCCACTCTTTTCCTTCTTCTAGCTGTTTTCATGTTGTGTCAGCTCAAACACTAGCAATATGTTGTCTGTCATCAGCCTCCTCAAATGAAAGCCGATTGTGTTTCGGCCACCAGTGCCGGAAGAGTTTCTTTCAATCTGTTGGTTAAGACCTTCGAAAACTTTTGTACTCCACGTTGCATAAGGAAATAGGCCTCAAGTCTCGCACTGTTTCCAAGTTTTTTTTTTTTCGGAATTAGCACAAAAATCGTGCCATTCACTTGCTTGGGTAGCCTACCTTCATCAAACCATGCTTTGCAGCTCTCTGTAATTGAAAGTCCTACAACATGCCAGAATTTTTGGTAGAAAGCCAGACTCATGCAATCTGGTCCCGATATTTTGTCGGGATATATTTAGAATATTGCTACTCTAATTTCCTCCAAGCTGAGAGGTAACAACAACAATTCATTCATTTGTCCACTAACTTTGTTCGTCACTGTGCCAACCACGTTCTTCCAACTTTCATCAGTGGCAGAGAACAGTTCTGAAAAGTAATCATGTATGTGATCTTGGAGAGCTTCCGAGTCCTGTATCCATTGTCCATTACTACCCCGAAGCATAGCAATATGATTTGTCTTTTTTTAGATGAAGCATGCTTGTGAAAAAAATTTATATTTTGGTCACCTTGCTGCAACCAAAACATCTTTGCACGTTGACGCCAAAAATAATCTTCCTTCTCAAGCAAATGTAAATACTCCTCATGTAAAAGCATCAACTTGTCATTCTCTGGGTTTGGCTTCAATCGCCTCTCGGATAAAATCTTCTTGTAGAGGGTCTGTTTTTTATTGTGTAGCTGGATCACCAATGACCGAACCCAATTATGTGGAGTCCTCCCGTGGTTACGGATTTTTTGCATTATATTGACCTGTACAGAGCTGTCCCAACTAGTTCTCACCGCTTCCTTAAATTCAGGATGTAAGAGCCAAGCATTCTTAAACCAGTAAGTGTTTGTGTTGTGTCACAGTACAGAGGGAGTGACAGTTCAGTAAAATCAGTGAGTGATCGAATACGTTGGCCATAAGATTTTTCAGTCGAGCTTAAGGGAATTCTGATAACCATCTGTCATTTGTTACACACCGGTCCAACCGTTCAAGGATGACACTATTTCCGTTCCTTCTCGACCACGTGAACCCATAACCCAGCAGGGGAAGATCAATTAGATTGCATGCCTCCAACGTGTCCCTGAAACCGTCCATGAGTGATGCCAATGGAGCCGCACCTCCATGTTTGTCCTCCGCTAAAATATCATTGAAATTCCCAATAACTGCCCATGGGGCACTTCAGCCACCTGCCAGATACCGTAATAATTGCCACGATTCCCTTCTCCTTTGTCTATGAGGTATGCCATAAAAGCTTGTTAGTGTCCATTCTCTTCCCATGAAGCTCTCGATCCTTAGGTCTACATGATGTTGTGAGTAGGAAAGCACAGACATGTTACATATTTGAGACCAAAATACTGTTAGGCCTCCACCTCTACCTAGTCGGTCGGCACCAAATACAATAGCAAAACCAATTTTCTTCCTGATCACCTATAATCTGTTATTATCTACAAGTGTTTCCATTAGAAATACAATGTCAGACTGGAACTAACGCACGAGGTCGTGCAATGCAATAACTGTTCAGGGATTACCAAGTCCCCGAAGTTCCAACTGATGATTTTTATGGCTTTCGGCGAGCCTAGAGCCCAGATCTCGCCGATCTCTCAGTGTTTTGTCCCGGATGGGTTTGCTCAATTTCCTCGTTTGTTATCAGTTCTCCAAGTTCCGACTCTAGTTTAGTACTTTTGCCATGGCCTTTTCTTACCATCGTCATGGGCCACACATATTTCTTCTGATAGAATGGTTGGATTGCAGTCATCAAAAAGGCCCACTGCTTCATATGTAGTTCGGCACAGAATGGCATCATGATCCATGTAATCTCCCACCCGCATTTGGCTACAGGAGTGAATACCGAAGGGATTGACTCTCGATGAATTTGGGATAATAAAACTGAAATTTGAATTCAAACTAGTTTCCTTGGTGGTTTCGGATCCCATGATTAACGGATCAAAGTTCGGTAACTTACCCCCTTTGTCATCTCGTAACCATCGGCTTGCCGGAATAAGGTTCCAGCGGGGATTGACCTTGAGTGTGTTGTCCCATTTTGGCTTCAATGAGTGAGAACTTGGAAGGATTAATAGTTGACAGTAATTTTCGAATATCTCAATCTACCCTACAAATAACAGAAAATTGATATATAAAGACAGCATATGTCGATTGACCGTTTCGGAGGTTCAGTTTCTTGTAGAAAAACAGTGGTTTTCGGACATCTATTGAGACTCTGATTCGCATGTAGCACGGAGTGGGGTGTTGTTCAACTGGCGAGTGTCATACTCGATGCACTTGCCTAGGAAGTTTCCGAACTGAGAGGCCATTGCCTCCGACATATAGCCAGTTGGGAGGGAGTTCACTTGTACCCAAAATAGGCTATGGTAGATTTCAACTTTAGACGGGTGCTTACCTTGCTGGAGTCTGTGCGTCACTAGTAGATGATTATTAAAGGCCTAAGGGCTTCTGTCAATGACTCTTTTGATATCAATCTCATGGAAAAAATGAAATAAATATCTGCCGGAAACTTTAGTCCTGTATGCTAACTCCTCCGATCGGCCTCTATATATCAGCAAACATGTTTCTCACGGGGTCAAACATTACGACCGCCTCTGTTAGGAGTCGCCCCACAAGGCAGAGATCGTAAGTTTCCTGATTGTTGGTTCCGGTCTCGGCAAAAACCCAGTCCCACCTTGTCTGCTTCAGTAATAGAGAGGGAGGCAAAGCTATCCACTTGTAGCGCAATATTCCCAAAATTAGGGGAATAACACAGAGGGAAGGAAGACATGCCAAGGAGCATTCGTGCTTCCTATAGTTTTATTTAATACAATATAACTAAACAATTTCGTTGACAAAAATCATTTGGTACGAATATTATAAATTTAACCTTTAAACATATGATATAAAGTATATATTTTAATAGTTTCCTCTAAATCAAACTCTGTATATATTATTACTTCCTTTAAAAAAAAAAAAAAAAAAAAAATTATATTAAGACAGGGATGAAAAGTAAAAAAAAATCTTGTCTTTTCTTATTTAATTGTAATTATGTGCAGTTTAAAAATTAATTTTCTAACAAAAACGAACATATAACAAAAAAATTTTATTTTAGTCGTCACGTTCTACCAACCCGGTCTAATATATATATATATATGTGTGGAAAAAGATTTATAGGTAGGAGAAGCCCAAAGAACCTTAGGGCTCGATCAGGTGGATGAACTGGAGTGGAGGCCACCAACGAGATACCGCCACTTTGTAGAGGAGAGCGCTCCACCTAAGTTTACATTTATAATTAAATTATACTCAGATTATTGTCAGCAGAGAAGGAGATAGAGACAGAAATGGAGAGAGCAAAGATAGCAGTGGAGAAAGTTGGAAGCAAGTCAACTGTAACAAGATGCTTCTCAAAGTACCCCCTCAAGTTCATTGTTCCCTTGAAGGTTATACTCCCTCTACATCTATATTCTCCTTGTCATTATACGTGTTTTTTCGTTTTATATTCACACGTAATTTCAAACTATTCTACTCGGGTATTTTTAAATTTGATTTCGTGATTGTTGTTGATGATGATTGATGATTGGCAACTGTTCAGGCGGCTCCCTCCAATATCGATGCTGTATGGATTTATAGCCTTACCTATGGAGGTGGTATTGTCTCTGTATGTTTCTTTTGCTTATTCTTTCCCTTGTCTCGTCATCATTTCGTTTTCTATTTATTTCTTTTTAACTTCAAATGGCCAATGATTACGCTTCTTTGGTTTTTGCTGTGCTGGGTTGCAGGGAGACTTAATTTCATGTGAATTTGACATTGGTGATAGCTGCACGCTAGTACTTACTACTCAAGCTTCCACAAAGGTTAATACACATTCTCTTTGTTAATGTTTGTGGCCTTTTCTTTTCATTTTTAAAATCTAATAAATTAACTGTTCAAGCTTATCTTACTGTTTTTTCTTTTTCTTTTTCTTTTTAGCATTTGTATATTGGATTAAGATGTTCTTTTTATGGATCTTGCTTAGTTTCAACTTCATCCGTCAGGCTCTAATATGTTATTGTGTATGAATCCTGTCATTTTTTATGTAGGTTTACAAGTCTATAGATTCCAGATGTTCTGAACAAGTCTTGGAGGTAATCATCTTGTTCTTAACTAAATTCTACATGAGAAATAATATTTTCATTGTCTCTGAACTTCACTAGTACGCTGCTTGCTAGTTGTTCTTAATTCTAATTGTTCTTGTTATAATATTACATCTCTTGGGCTGTTTTAGCTAAGGGTTTTTCTTAATTGCAGTCCCTTCACTTGGTTGAAGTCCAAGTGAGCCAATGGTCATTCAGTATTTTTTTTATTTCACCCACCTCCCCAAGTCTCTAGCTTGTCAAGATACTTGCACATTTTGTAGTTAAATCACAAGGATGTCATGACAATGTTTATCAGAATTGCATTCTGTGATGAATAGTCTGAAGTGACACTGGCTCATTTATGCCATGCAGTAGGCACGAGTTGGGAGCGGTGCTCTCTTTGTTGTAATCCCAGATCCTGTGACATGCTTTTCAACTGCAAGGTATTCTCAGAAGCAGATCTTCAGAGTGGTTTCGGACTCGAATTTGGTTATTGTCGACTGGATTACCAGTGGACGACATGAGAGTGGAGAAAAATGGGATTTTGAGCTTTATAAGAGCACCAACCACATATTCTTAGATCAGGATCAGCCTCTGTTTCTTGATACGGTAGTAGTCTCTTTCACTCTTGCAAATTCAGAACTTCTTTAATAAGGTTATTCTATTTGGAGAAAGAGTTTCAAAAGAGAGATTCTGGAATTTTCTTGATAAACATTTTCCGTTAGTAATATGTTCCAGTGATACTTAGATATTTGCATCAGCTCCTCTCTTCGTTGACAGAGCATGCAGTTGTACATCAGGAGCCATTTGATTTGGTGGATATGATTATAGTTCTCACTTAAATTACTAACATTCTCATTGCTTTGTCCAGAGAAACTTTTCTTCCTTGATTTCTCGTCTCTTACATATTCTTTATTGATTTGCACTCCTTTCTGGTTTCAACCTGTATCCCATTGTATGGTCCTCAAATCTTGACTCTCTTCTTATGCAGTTACCGATAACACTTCGGATTAAAATTTTTAGAATTTCCATTTACATTTTTGTTCTCTTGTTGTGTAAAGTAGCTTACTAATAAATTACAGGTGCTGCTAGAGCAAGGAAGCATCGTCTCTATTGCTGAACGCATGCAAGAGTATCAAGTGATTGCAATGGTCATACTGCTTGGGTAGATATTTTGTAATATATTTGACTTTGTCTTCTCCTTGATGATTTAATACTTTTGGTCAGGATTGGCTTTAGATTATTCTTGCTGAAAGCAGACGAAAAGAATTGAAATCCTATATTTACTGCTTTATTGCAGGCCAAGTCTGAAGCACATACAGAACCAGGTTCAAGAAAATGTAAAGAGGATGATGTCTGAGCAATTGCACATGCCTTCCACAAGTGCAGGCCACCACTATAGATCAAATTCAGATCCTAAACGCTTGGCCAAACCGACCATCATTGCTTCTTGCAGCAATTTTGGTCCCAAGGTACGCATCTTATATCCAGAAGCCTCAGGATCACAAAATCTTGTTATTTGTCAATGAGGCAAAATTTCCATCTTCGTTTGCTACTGAATAAGAAGAGTAAACTTTTTTAGAGAGAACTAGGAGTAGGTCTCATTACTATACAGATATTCAACAAGCTGATGCAAGTTGCTTGATTGTATTGCACCTTTTCTTTTTGATATTATTTGAGTCATCATGTGTGAATATCTTGACTTAAAAATCTTTTGGTAGTAATTTTTGTTGTGATGCTTTACTTCTGTTTGCAAGAGTGAGTTATGAAGAGGGTTCTTTCTACTTCAGGGAGTGGGTGTTGTTGTCCGAGTAGCTGCCATAACAACTGAATCTGTATACAGGTTTCTGCAGCGTCAGTTGGTTGGCTTGGAGCCAATGATTGGGATATCACCTTTTCTTTGATTATGTTATGCATTATGACTACTTGCTAAGGTTTATTCTTTAATTTTTACCCTATTCTTTGGAATTGAAATTTTGGTTGAGCAAGTGAGAGCAACTGAAATGTCAGTTAAGAATTTGGGCCAAGTTGTATGAAAGTGAAATACTTTGGTTATTGTTTTGTTATGATTCCTGCACGATGATCCTTTTTCTGCTTTTTTATATTGCTACTAATCTTTTACAAAAAATATTTCAAAGAAAAATATCACTTGGTGCTTATATCACATTTTGGTTTCTTTGAGATTAGCTCTTGAACTTTTTCCTTCCTTGGCTGCATTGTAAACCGAAAAATAGTACAATAAATAGTTCCTCTGATTGCCAAACATGGTGTACCCAAAAAGGAAATGACACCATTGTCCAAGTCAATATAAATATCCTAATAGACAAAAAAATAAAAATCGTTTGACATCTACGCATGCTTTTAAAACTTTCCTCTAAGCTGCACCCTTATGGTAACATTATTATACATGCCAAAACATCCTGGTGATGGTTTGGAAGCTCAACGTTGCTGTCCAGCAAGGTGAAAGATCCTCAATGCCTGAAGTGCCTCACATTGGTAAAAAGAAGTGAAACTCCATATTTGTTGCAGCAGTCTATGGCATCCTGATCTCTGATGCTCCCACCTGGTTCTGCAATCACACCAATTCCTTTCTCACATGCTTCTTCCACTGCATCCTTCCAAGCTGTTGATATGTCAAGTGGCAACCACAGCAATAAGTTATTAACTGTCTTTGTGTGCCATTTACAACTGGATATCTCCATCATAAATGACTCTGTTTAGGGTTCATTCTGGTAATGCATTAACCTTGATATATTCCCAGAACTATTTAAACTATCTTCACTATGTACCATATTTAACATGGAAAAGCAGTAAGATAGCAAAAAGTAATTTACCAAATGGGAAGAATGCATCACTAGCCAAAGCAGCCCCCTTCGCCTCATCTCCTGCCTTTCTAAAAGCTATTCTTAAACTCTCCACACGATTTGGCTGCCCACTTCCCATACCTAACATGCAGTTACCCTGCCCAATGAAGAGCATTAATATTCTTCCAGAATTTCCAGTCAACCAGTTGTTAATGCACAAACTTCAGAAAAATCCTTCAAGATCAGAGAATACCAACCTTGGCAATAACAATGGCATTACTCTTAACATGCTTAACACACAGCCATGCAAACTCTGCATCAGCGAGCTCATTTTTCTCCGGAGTCTTCTGAGAGACAACATTGAATTGGATATCTTGTGGGGTTATGTCATCTGAATCCTGTGCTAACCACCCACCACCAACTTGTCTAAGTGAAAGCTTTCCTGTCTCGTTCTTCTTTGCCTCAAGGATTCTCAAGGTCTTTGATTTCCCACGGAGGATTTCAAGCCCCTTTTCTGTATACTTGGGAGCCACTACAATCTCATAAAACATCCTGGTTTCACCATCTGTTGGGCTTCTAAACTCTCGAATATCCTTAGCAAGAGCCTAAAAGCATGGTTAAATTGAATATTAGAACTTTAATAAAAAGTATAAATATATTAACAAAGCACCAAGGGGATGCAGCCCATGTACAAAGAAATTATATATTTGTTAGGCAGTCTATTATATGTCCAAAATCATCCATCCTATATAAATCATGACCTAAAATTAACGATCCAAAAATTGAATATTAGAACATAGGACTTTGTTCTGTATATGATAACATTTTTACTTTTTGTTTTGTAGTTTTTTACATATAAATGATTTTGAAAAAAAAAAAAAGAAAAATATAAATATGGTGCGAGTTTAAAAATAATAAAAAATTATTTTTAGTATTTTCTGAAAAAATGTTCCTGTTTGACTTAAAAGCACCAAGATAAACTTTTTGACAAGCAAATATGTATACTGCTTTTTATTTGTATACATAAGTTGATGTAATATAAATACATATATAAACACAAATGCATGTAACATGTAAATATATGTACCAATACATATACATGCACACGCATAATAAAATACATATAAAAAATATATAAAAGCATAATATAACTAGAAATACATATGTATCTTTGTACATATATGAATATTAGAAAAATAAAAACTAAAAAAAGGTTTATTGTTTCATAAGAAAAATGTTCTCCTTTACCGAAGGCAGTCTAGCATTTCCTTTAATTGAATTAGTTACTAGACAGTCATATCCACCTTGAGCCTATCCCATAAATTCAATACTCAACCTCAATTAATAGATCAGAAGTTACCTCATCAACTTCCACATTAAAGGCAACAATGCCACCAAATGCACTCACTGGATCTGCTTTCACAGCTAGCGTATAAGCTTCAAGGATATCATTGCGAGATGCTACTCCACAAGGATTTGTATGCTTCACAATCACACATGTAGGGCTCTTGAATTCAGAGACACAATTCCATGCCGCATCAGCATCTAGATAGTTATTATATGACATTTCCTACACCAAGATTAAAAATAAAAATTAAAGGGCGTTAAAACCTCAAAAACTTCATTCTAGTCGTTTTATGGAGTCTTAGGTTCATGCATGAATGCAAATCCTCCATGCCAACTTGTATATAAATGCAAAAATCACCAATCATTCAACCAATCGATCAAAAAATGGAGTTATTGAAGACATGAATGTCTGAATTTGCTCACCTTCCCATGGTGCTGAATAGCTGTTGCAATACCACCAGCATTAACCTCTGAAAGACTTTTGTCCACATAAAACGCAGCCTTTTGATGAGGATTTTCACCATAACGAAGAGAACTTTTGAGAGAAAGAGGCAAAGTAAAACTGGGAGGGAATTTATCTTCAAAAAGAAAAAGAAAAGGAGCTTCTGTCAGTCAATATGCATAATGATGACATGTCGTTACAGAAACAAAGTACAGTTTACTGAACATCTTCATATGAAAAAGTAAAGCCTTCCTTTTTTTACAAAGTAGAGCTCCATAAAAAATATGTAAATAGTACCTCCTTCGACCTGTTTCCATAGCCACTCTGAAACTGCAGAGTCATAAGCAGCAACATGTTGAAAAGCCTTCCAAGCAAGCTTTCTTCGGAACTGTTGATCATCATGATTTCCTCCAAGAAATTCCAGGAGTGCAGGGTAATCCACTGAATCGACAACAACTAACACATCCCTGTGGTTCTGTTAACACAAACTTGCCATTTAGAATCTCAAGTGACAAAAGGAGGATGCCTAAATGTGAATTAACATTATGTTTGTCATCTAACAACACTAGCATAAGAAGCAGCAAATGGTCCTTTTTCAGCTGTAAGCCAAATCATTTCAAATCAAAGCAAGAAGCTTGCAACCACTAGTTAAAGCTCAAGCATGGGAGCATTAGAACTGCTGATACTTAAGTTGGGCCCTATTTAACATCAAACTCCCACATTCAGCCAGCTGAGATAACTGCATTTTCTTATCAATTTCAGCAATGATTAAAGTCATTAACTGACTGGGGAGGGTACAATGTCATGATACGACAAGTTATATCTTGAAAAGTGGGAGTTTTAGTTGTGACAAGAAGTGCGTAGTATATTTATTTTTTGAAAAATTAGCGGAAGATTGGCATGTATAATACTGAATTACCTTTGCCGCAGCTCTAATCATTGCAGGGCCACCAATGTCAATATTTTCAATTCCATCCTCAAAGTCAATTCCTCCAGCAGAGGTAACTTTATCATAAAAGGGATACAAGTTCACTACAACCACATCAAATGTACCTGCCCAGAACAATTTTTTAGCAAAAATTAAGTAGCACAATTATGGACAAGAAAAGTACATTAGACAAGAATTTAACATATAAAAGTACCAATAACTAAGGTACAGTAAAAGGGTTTACTATTATCTCACCAATTCCATGTTCATTAAGAGCTTCCACGTGATGCTTCTGGTCTCTTCTAGCCAAAATACCCCCATGTATATTTGGGTGCAAGGTTTTTACACGACCATCAAGCTGTCATTAGAATGCTGAAGTTAATCATACAATTCAAGAGGAGGTGCCATTAACAAGAAAAATCAAATGAAGAATTTTGAGACCCACCCGAAGTCCACAGGAATCATGATATACAGGAAAAAGAACTTTAAGATAACACTTCGACAGAACTACCACAACCACAATTTTACGCGTATGAACAGAATTGGGGAAACACAAGCATAATATTGGGCATGTTCAGCCATCCACATGAACCAGACGGGTGAAAATTGATTGTCCAGCAAAGTGGCTCCTATAATAGCTATGTAACCATAATTTTCAGCCCTATGGAGAGAACTAAGGAAACAAAAGCAAAATATTG